AGCCACTGTTAGTTGTAAAATAAATAAGTCTTACTAAAAGCAGTTCCCAACTTTTGAGGACTCCCAATAAATAAGCTTCTAACTAAAAGCATTTCCCAACTTTTGAAGACTTTCTGCAGTGTTGACAGTATGTATATGTGGTGTGTGTGTGTGTGTGTGTGTGTGTGTGTGTCCCTTTTCACTTAAGCCTTATCATTCACTGTCCCCCTACCCTCAGAGCTTTACAAAAACACAGCAGTGTGTGCATGAGCAAGCCTGACATCGTGCCTGGCCCCCAAATGCACACAGTGTGTTAGTGCCTTTAAAATGTTCATATTCCGTGGTTGTTGTTAGTTGCTGCTACACCAATTCTAAATTTATGGCAACGCCATGTGTGCCAGGTGGAACTGCTCTATAGGGTTGTCAAAGCTGGGACCTTTTGGAAGCCGATCACCAGACCTTACTTCCAAGGGGCCATTGGGTGGGTTTGAACCACCAACCTATTGGTTAGCAGTACAGCACTTAACTGTTGGCATGACCTAGGGACTCCTTTCATTTCCCCAAATGCTCCTTAATCTGTGAATTCCCCTGGGCCAGACTGGTGGACTAGGAGCACCCATATCAGGCAGTTCCTCCCTAGGGACCACTAAAGGCAGAGGTTTGCCTGGTTGACCAAGCCCTTCTCAAACCCCTTGGACAAGAGCACACACATGGACTCCTTTGAGAAGCAGTAGGTCAAAGTTACTGCTATCTGTCCTTCTGGGAAGGAGCCCAGGTAGCGCCATCTTTAAGAGCTCAGCTGCTAATGGAAAGGTCAGAGGTATGAACCTACCAGATGCTCCACTGGAGAAAGACAGGCCTCCTGTTTCTGTAAAGATTTACAGCCTTGAAAACCCATAGGGCAGTTCTGCTCTGTTCTTTAGGGTCACCACTATGAGTTGGACACAATGGTTATGGGCTTTGGCTCTTCTGGTAGGTGTGTGTGTGTGTGTGTGTGTGTGTGTCTATTCACTAACTTTTTTTTTTTTTTTAATATGCAATGCTTCATGAATTTGTGTGCCACCCTTGTGAGGTCAGGGAGTGGGACTCGGCATTGGGACATTGTACCTGTCAGGCAGGCCTTGGGCAGGGGCCATGCTATTGTCTCTGTATCATTCCAGTCATTGTATGTGTGCTGCCAAAGGGAGTACTACTCCTCGCTAGCTTTTGATAGTGTTTGTTAGGAGGAACAGGGAAAGGTGATGGCAGGAAGGAGGTTCATGATGAAGTTTGTAAGACTGCCAGAATCTTAAGAACACAATGAACAACATCCTCCAGGCAGCAGCATGGGGGTCTTCAGAGAGCATTCCACAGTGGACCAACGTAGTGTCAGGAGAGGCAAGCGTTCACTCAGTAAAAGGCAAGGTGCCTGACATATGGGAATCCCTGGCTTCTTGGCCAGCAAGGCCCACTGAGGCGGAAGTAGTACCAGGCCAAGAGCTTGAAGCCTGCAGTCGCCAGCTTGTAATGAACTTGTGCGAGAAAGAGGAATTGGATCCTGGGCAGAGAGGACATCTAGGGAAGGACGGGCCTTTGTCTTTGTTCAGCTGACAGGTGGTGCAGCTACGTCAAGGAAACTCCACACCGGTCTATTCCAGTCCGGTTCCAGCTTTGTCTTGCTGGCTTTGAGCTGAACATCCTGGATCCCTGCATATCCAGTGCTGTCTGTGGTCCTTTAAGGACTGGCCTCTTCCAGCTTCAGAGTCAAGGCACCAACTCCCCTGTTTTGCTTTTTCAATAAAAATAGCTGGACTATTTCCCCCGCTAAAAATTCTAAAATAGTAAAAATAGTAGCTTATGGCCAAATAATAACATCCTAAAAATAGTAACTTATGACTGAAAAATGAGGCAAGACAAGAATCAGCTTAAAAGATGCTCAACGTCACAGGGAAGTACTACTTTGAAACACTTTGGTGAACATTCTTTCAGCCCTGCGTTCTGGGTGGACAGCCTCCCTGTGAACATTTTTTTACAGACTTCTATGTATCTTGTCATCTGCTTTCTCTAGAGCTGACGATGCTGTGGGAGACGGTCTTATATCCATCCCAGCAAGCTGAAGCCCTCATCCTCAAGGCCAGCTAGTCTGTCTGTGTCAGAGTCTCCCAAGGCCCTTCGCTATGGCTGAATCCGTGTGCCCCCGAGGTGGGATGGGTTAGGAAGCGAGACAGAGTCAGCAGGGTCACCAAGATGGACCCACTGGAGCAGGCTGCACATTTTTATCTGTCCTTGGTCCCCATCTTTCCCAGTCCCCTTCGCTGCTTCAGCTACAACGCCAGTTTTTGTTAGTCTCTCTCTGTTCCCTTCAAGAGCTGTCAGCCGCCACCCCCCCCCCAAATAGAACCAGGCATGCTTCTCTCTAGGCATGGCACTGCTTCTTGGGGACATTTACTGGTCATGCAAGAACTAAAACCAACCCCTCACCACCCAAAAGAACCTCTTGGCTACTGTCCCTGGCCCCGAGGGATCTAACTTTCTATTTCTGCTGGTTTCTTCTTTTCCCTCCTACCGCTTGCACACAGTGACCGCCCTAATCCTCCTTGTTACTCTTGGCAAAGCTGGCGCTTCTAACCCTGATGTAAGGCTTGTGGTTTCAGATTCAGCATTTCCTAAATATGGTTTCTCAGCCACCCAGCCCTGGACATAGTGCTTCCTTCTGCCCTGCCCACTTTTCTGTGGTCATCTGCTTCCCTGACTCTCCTCTGACTTCTAGGCTCTGGCTGTCATGTATCTCTTGTTGTGACTTCATCTTGACCTTGATACCAAGGGCATGGGCAGGAGGCAAACCCGCCCACCAGCCCCAACTTTGGAGGACCCTGTAGTCCAGTGGACACCGAGCCCTTGGGAAATGCTGTAGGAGTCCTGAGGGAAGAAACAGAAGAAATGCCAAATACGCATAATAGCTTCCATCTGTACTTCAGATCCTTCCCCCATACATTATTTTCCACAGTGCAGACCTTATGGAAAATGCTGGTGCCAGTGCGTCCCATGGAGCCAGGCAAGGCTTCTGCCTCAATCTGGGCTGCAGGCCTTGAGAGGCTGGGTTTCACTCACTCACTCACGCACTCACTCACTCACTCACTCACTCACTAACTCACTTCATTCATTCATTCCTCATCCAGCACTTGCTGACCTGCAGAGCACACCACATCTCAAGTTCTAGTGTCTTCCCCCATTTTAGTCACTCCTAGTGTTTCAATCTCAGTTAAGGCTAATGCTGCAGTTTCTATTAATTTCCTCTTTATTTTCCACGGGGACGAGAGCGGTTGCTCACCACCCACTACATAATAACCTTGTGATCAGCCATTCTCAGGGCTGCTATATTTACCTTCGAACAAAGCACAGCTTTCCTGCCCTGCCATCGGGTGATGGAGGGGAAAGAAAGGCTCCCTCTGTAAGCCACTTTTGCTGGCTGGGCCATGCGGGAGGGAAAGGGCACACACAGCAGCGCTGATGACATGCAACAGAGCCAGCTGGAGTCTAATTGCCCAAGTGAGTGTGAAACCCTGCTGCAGGTGGGACAGGTGCTGGGGGTCTGGGTGGGGTCATGGCAGGTCACTGAGAGATGTTTCAAAACATTCCCTGTGTTTAGTGATCAAGAGGACATGGCCCATTTCCTTTGTTCCCCTTGACGATGGCTAATTCTCGGACTTGGAAAGACTTGCTGTGCTTTCGCCCCCGCCCCAAGATAAAGCCGTCTAGAGAGCTGGGGAGACTTGGACTGCTCTGAAGTGAGGCTTGAATCAGCTGTAGATTCTGCAGTCTGGCGTCACCATCACCCAGTAGTCCCTAGCAGAAACTACCTCCTGGCGACAGACTTTCACTCTTGGGGCTGAGCTGAAGCTAGACTGACCATTGAGAATGGAGACTGTATTAGTCAGGGATCTGGTTATAAGTCACAGAGCCAGACACCAATTTAAGAGGAAAGGAATGTGTTGGGATGTTGGAGTGCTCACAAACTTTACACCACGGCTGGAAAACCAGGCTTGGAAAATGAGCAGGAACAAAGGGAGGCTCTTGGCAGGGACCAAGGCTAAAAGTACGACCTAGAGCTGAGGTGGCAGCACCTCCGATGCTGCCAATGTTGAACTGGGTACCCTGATGGGCATTGTCCCAGAGACTGGGCATAGCTGGCACAGTCAGAGAGGTTCTCCTTGTTCCTGCCATCCCATCAAGTTGTTTCTGACTTCGAGAAACAGACTAGGATGGAGTAGAACAGCCCCCGTGGGTTTCCCAGATTGTAAATCTTTTATGGGAATTGATAGCCTCATCTTTCTTCAGAGGAGTAGCTGGTGGGTTTGAACTGCTGACCAATGTGTAACCCACTAAGGCACCAGGCTCCTGCTTTTCTTTTTTGTAACTACTAGTTCCTTATTTGAGAGCTCTGGTAGCATAGTGGTTATGAGGTAAGCTGATAATTGCAAGGTCAGCAGTTCGAAATCACCAGCCCCTCCATGGAAGGAAGATGGGACTTTCTACTCCTTTAAAGAGTTACCGTCTCAGAAACTCACAGGTGCCGTTCTAGCCTGTTCTATAGGGTCAGGATGAGGCTGCAGCGACTTGATGACACTGAATTTGGTTTCCAGTTTTCTGTTTGTTTGTTTTGAGTTCCCTATTTGTTGTCTGAATTGGATGATCTGATTGGCTACACCTAGGTCCTGTGAGTATTCCGGGAAGGCCAAGACCTGGTGTCACCAGCTTCTATCGTCAGAGACTAGCCTTGTCTCCCACAACTCACTAGATGGGGAGTTCTCCAAACCCAGGGAGATGCTGGATGACGAAGCAATGACTAATAAGTATGAAGGGGGCTAAGGGAGTGAGAGAGTCACCTCGCGGGCAAGATGAACGAGTGTGCCTGATGGTAGCCGTGGGCAAGGCACGCGCGTATCCATCCTTAGAATCCTCTGGTCTCCATTCGAACCTGGTCAGCTTGGGGAAACAGGGCGGCAGGGGAGTCCGAGTGCTATTTGTGAAGTGGAGAAGTTTGGAGGGGAAGAGGACGTGGTACATTTCTGAGCAGACACGGCCAGATTGCCTTCTAAGAGGTTGTCCTTGTGGAAAACTGGGACTGAGCAGGAATGGAGGGGAACTGCTGCCTCCCACGCCCATCTCCTTCGCCTGGCCTTCTCATCACGTGATCGATGGGGCCCTGCCCACTTCAGGGCTTGTGCTCCTTTTCACACGGCTACTGTGTCTTGCTCCCACCCAAAGGTGTCTGTGCAGGTGTTGTCCACCTGCTGCTCAGTGCCCCCTGCAGTTGAAGATTCACCCAGGTGCTTCCCCTGAGTGTTGGTTTGACACGCCACCCACTGTCCCAGCGTAGGCTGGAGAAGTGCTTACTGTGTTCAAGGGTCAAATGTCACTCAGTACTGATGACCCCGAATGGTCTGGTTTTTTCCCTCCAGCCGTTGAGCATATCTGGTGTCCTGAGCTCCGAATCTACCACTTCCAGCAGGTCAAGAAATAAAACTCGTTATCGAACCAAAGCTGTGAGCTCCGAGGTGGACGAGAGCCTCTTTGGAGGCATCAAGGTAACCTTTATTATTCCCCTCCAGGCTGCCTCTACTTGGAAGTCAGGTGCTTCCCCTGAGTGTTGGTTTGACATGCCACTCACTGTCCCAGCGTAGGCTGGAGAAGTGCTTACTGTGTTCAAGGGTCAAATTTCTGTCATGGAACAAGTAAGAGACACGTGCACCCAGAACAAATTTAGGTCGGGTCTGCAGGGAGGCCAGCTGGCCAAGTATGGGGTTCAATACAGCATAATGAAGATTACAATGGTTTCTGCCTGCTAAGTAAGGCTCTTGCCTGTGGCTACAGGGGATCTGCCAGAGGCTCAGTCTGATCAGACACTCTGCAGATGGGTTCTGGGCTCCCACTGTCTTCTGTATTCTTCTCCAAATTGGGTATTCATAATTTTAGCTCTGATATTTTTTTCTTCACCATATTCGAATTTGTAATTGTCATCTTTGGATCACACAAGCTGGCGTGCTTCTTCCATGTGGACTTAGTTGACTCCTTGCTTAGATGGCTGCTTGTTTGAATACAAGCCTTTAAGGCCTCAGGCACTATTCCAATGGATAGCCGGGCACCATCTACTTTCTTTGCCACACTTTGCTGTAGCGCCCCTATCTTCAGTGATCATTTCATAAAGGTGAGTATCGAGCAGGGCCATGTTATCAGAACTAATTGAAGCTAGAATTAAATAGGAGCCCTGACTCCCTCTGCCTGTCCATGGGGTTTGCAGTACTCAGGTTTACTTTGGCAGTTGTAATATGACAAAATCAAAACCCTGTAAGACCAACTCCATCAATATTAGCCATAAGCCAACCAGCAATCAAACAAACTGAACACACAGACCCAAAAATAAATAAATGAAGAAAGAAAAAAGCAAGCTACAAGCAGGAAAGCAAAAACCCCTATAAACAAAAAGTACAGCATTGTCAATCACCCCCTTGGGGTATAAGTCGATTGCACAGATTATCATCATCAACTTCCCCAAGAGCCCAGCACTCCAGACATTGACAGTATGAGGAGTCTATGCGAGTATAGTTCTCTCTTGAGCCGCAACCCATGAGTTTTTGCCCTACACAGTTAGATCTCCCATTCGGTTGGGTTCTGCTGACCCTAAGAATGGGGATTGATGCCAGAGGGGATCAATTCTTCCAAGTTCAGATTCCTGCTCTACCTGCTCTATGGATCAGAACCTGTCGTGCTGTTGCAAGGTGGGCATTGTGGTACTACATGTGTGGTGATCCTGGGTCCCTTTCCATTGGACACCCACCGAGCTAGGGGTTCCCCCCAAGGTTCAATGACCACCACTTCCATAGTCCTGGGGTGGCCACTCTGCTTCCTCTCCCATACAAGTACTCTAGTCCTCGAGACTGTAACTCTTTAAGGGAGTAGAAAGCCTTGTCTTTCTCCCTTGGAGTGGCTGGTGGTTTCGAACTGCTGAACCTGGTGGTGAGCAGCCCAATGACTAACCACTATGCCACCAAAGGTAGCACTGGGCAAATCGGTCCTCTCTCACAGGTAGCTCTAGTGGGGCTTATGTCAATGGGAACACCTGAATCCCTCCTATCAACGCAGCATTTAACATCTGTTACCATGGCCAAGGAAAGGCTCAACTCCAGGGAGCCCAGTGGCTGTTGAGTGAGAGCACGGGATGTGAGCATCTGTAGGTGTAGTGTTTCAAATGCCCCACCACTAACCAAAAGGTCAGCGGTTCAAACACATCAGTCCTTCCGTGGGAGAAAGGTGTGGCAGTTTGCTTCCATAAAGTTTTCCAGCCTCAGAAAGCATATGGAGGAGTTCTGCTCCGTCCTATAGGGCTGTTTTGAGTTGGAATTGACAGTTGAGGGTTTTGGTTTGGGAGAACCAAGCTTGTAGACTCCAAGCGACCCCTTTCCCCTCCAGCCAAGAAGAGCCATGGGGGTGAAACTCTGGGCTTAGCAAAACAGCCAGTTAGCTTTGAGGGCATCTACTGGCAAGTGTCATCCAAGTTAAGGGCTTGGCAACTCATTTAGTTCAGAAAAGGAGAGGCAGAGAGCTGCCTTTTGGTACACCTAAAGTCCACAAGTGGGAAGGAAGAGAGAGAGAGAGAGAGAGAGAGAGAGAGAGAGAGAGAGAGAGAAAAGAAAGGTGCCCGCGGAGGCCAGCGACCATCTGGCATAGGGGTGGCGGTGGGTGGGGAGAAGTTAGTGCCCGTCCCTGCTCCATACCCTCCTTGCTCTGAGCCAAAGGGGACTTTCCAGAGGGCTCTGGAAGGAGGGGAGGGCATCTCTGTCCCCGGAGAAGACCCCTCCCTGGTAAGGGAAAGATCCAGAGGAATGCTGTTTCACTGCAGGCAGACGTTTGTGCTTGAGGTCCACAGAGGTGTTCCGGTTAAAGCAAAGATCGCTTTGGCGTTGGCCCCGGTCTTCACGGGTTGCCATGCTGGCTAGCCAAAGGGGATAGGCAGTCAACAAAATGCCAGTTACCGGGCCTGTTCTCTTTGACCTTATTGCTGGGCCTCAGTCAGGGCAGGGCTCTCGGCAGTAGGGGGCAGAAGTGCCCTGTGGCATCACGACTCTGTGCCTGCCAGGAAGCGGAGACTGGGCACCAGGTGGCAGCAGCACTCAGGGGAACTGGCTAGGCAAAGGCAGGTTCTCAGGAAGGGGTGGGGGAGGATGGAGCAGGGCAGGCTCTCCCTTGAGGCTGTCCCCCTGCCTCCAGTAAGGTGTATAGTTACAGCAGCAGTGACAAACACAATTCCTTGCCGGGTTTTACATTTTCCTGAAGGAGGCCACTTCATTTTTCTTGTTACCCTTCACGTACAGGAAAACCTTGACAACATTTTCTCTCTTCTATACTCTTGCAGAATTCTAACTCACTGACCGCCTCCCCATCCCCACCAGGCCAATGACTGTTCAATAAGACCCATTTCAAATCCCCTCAATAATGACTTTGTGTGCGTGTGGAGGTGGGGGGGGGGCGGGTGTGTGTGTTCGGTGTTGGGTGGATCGAAGTTAATTAATCATTAGAAAGGATTAAGCATTCTTGACATCCTAGGTTGGAGCCACCTATAACAAACTGTATTGCTTGGAACCCACAATGGGGTCTAACTGAGAAAATGACTCCCCCGCCCATAGATTGTGGAAGGAGGAGAGGCTAGAGATCAAAGACTTACTTTTCCAGCCCAATAGGTTCTGACGAGGGGTACACATTAGCCCCCCTGCCTGCCCCGGGCTCCCAGGAGTGTTCATTCACCTGCACAACATATAGAGAGGCCTCGCTCTCAGGGGACCTGCCAGCATAGAACGTCACACTCTCCCCTCGGTGCGCTGGCTCCCCTTGACCATCCTGCTGTCTGGAGGGGCTGGCAGTCTCAGGGGAGACGTGGCCAGCAGGAAGTGGGGCGACCAGCTTTTAAACTGTCTTTCTTGGCTCCACAGCCCCTGCCATCGGCCTCTAGTGACAGCCCCATTGTGCTGCTGCGAGATAAACAGGCCATTCAGAGAGGTCTCACGGCACCTAGCAAGGAGCACAAGCCTCAGACCATCCAGCTCATCACGCGGGACATGGTCCGGGAGCTCGTGTGAGTACCAGGGCGAGGCCCCTGCTCTCCAGGGCTTAGGCTGCGCTGCTGGGGAGGGTCTCTGCTGGATGAGGGGTCACGGCTTGGCGTCACTCCGTCAGTCCACTCCCCGCTCCTTCCCCATGCATCTTCCTTGCTTTGTCCCATGATTCCCCTTCATGCTTCTCTATCATGGCCTGTCTTGTGGAATGCCCTCTCGGATCTAGTCTTGCTACGGCCTTTTATCTCCAACTTCGTTCTCCACCTCTTCGTTTGACTTGCTGTGGGACCCACGGGTCCCTGGGTAGTACAAACCGTCAATGTGCTTACCTGCTCATCAAAAGGTTGGCAGTTTGGGCCTGCTTTGGAAAAAGGGCTGGTGTTCCGAACACCCTGGTTTTGGAAACCTTTTAGAGCACAATTCTACGGTGCAACACACGGGGTCGCCAGGGGTCCGATTCTCCTCCATGCCAGCTGACACCATGCGTGCTGACGGGACCTAAGGGGCCGAGTGCGCAAGGGGTCGCCTCTTTCAGTCCCCAGTAGTGCATGGGGTAAAGGGAAACGTTCCAGATGAGCCAGTTCCTGCCTGCGGCATGAAGAAGCAGCAAAGAGAAACTGACCAGATGCCTAATAGCCGCCTGGCTTCTTCCCAGACTCAGAGGCCAGAAGAAGAAATGCACAGGGGTTCCTTTGGGATTAGCTCAGCACTGCTTTGTATCAGAACTACCCCTTGCTCAGCCTCTTCCAGTGTGAGGCCCTCCGTGTTGGATTACTCAATCAACTAGGTAAGCACAGGCTTACTTGTGCTTACTTACGAATCTTTAGTGAACAGTTTCACACGTTGGGGGGGGGGGGTTGTCACATCCAAGGTTCTGCTTCTAGCCAGGGCCAGCAGCTGTCTCTCCCCCAGCCCCCCAGCACCTTTCTACAGAATCAAAGCCTCTCTTCACATTTACAATCCCTGCTAGGGGCAGAGTAACCCATAAGCAAGGGAAGCACAGGCTTACGTGTGCTTACCTGCTAATCTGTAGTGAAACGTTTCCCATGTTTGTCACTCCATTAAAGATGAGGTGAAACCCACGTCAACTTGTTCGCTACCAATTGGTAAGTGAGCCCAGGTAAGTCTCTGCTTACTGAGTACCCTGCCCCTGGGTGCAGGCCTGGCTCAGAAGGCACAGCCGGTCAGCTCCTGTGCTCAGCGGTCCCGTGGCAGCCTCATGCTGAACCCTGTCACTGTTCGCCCTCCTCTAGCCCCACCCGCTAGAAGCTTCAATCCCCAGAAGGTGCCTCCTGTGTAAGGAGCCAGGAGGCTCCTCCAGACCTGGGCTCTGGGAAGTGGGCTTGATAGCCACTCCTGATTAGCTAGGCATCATGCAGCTAGACCCGGGGTCTGAGAAGCCATTCCACCTTCGCGTGGTCGAGTCCCCACCAGGTCGGAGGTGAAGTGGCTGAGAAGGGCAGCAAGAGCTTCTATCTGCCCCTCAGATCCTTTCTTCTCATTCCAGACCCAAGGCTATCTGGGGCCAATCCCCCAATTCACTCACTCGTTCAGCCCCCACCCCCCACCCCCCGCCAGTTTTATTAGACAAGATTTCTCTTCCTGTCCCCGACGCGCTGTCTCAGTGCTGCGCGCCTGTTAAATTGCCTCACCCAGAAGCAGCTGTACCTCACCCCTCCCACCAGGTACTCCCTCCCCCACCTTTAAGGGATGTCATTTGTTTGTAATCATTATAATTAGCTATTGGTTTGTTGAATGCGTTGGGCAGCTAGAAAGGAGAGGTCTATGGACATGTCTCTGAGGGGTTGTGGATCAGAGATTTTAATTAATATTTAGGGTTCAAAGCTTCTCCCTGGGCTGAATGGACAGGGGTGTTTAGGTTTTCTTACTGGCATCCATTTCAACCATGTCTGGCGTCTCCTTGCCCCACTGGGAGCTGTCCTTGAGAAAGAAGCTATGTTTAAAGTTCGATTCACCAGCTTTAGTTTGGGTTCTCACCCTGCGCCAAGCTTGTGCCAGGGGCCAGGGCACCAATGCCATTAAGACAAGGCCTGGGCCTGTAATCTAGCCCAGGAAATGGATGCTACACAACTGGCCCGTGACACAGGCAGTCAGAACAAAGGGCCTCGAAGGAGGGGCCGTGTATTGGACTTTGAGGGTGGCCTGTGTGTATGGCATGTGAGGGGCTCACAGGCTGTAGCACAGAGAAGGTCACATATAAGCCGGACCTTTAAGGTACTTAAAAAGTCTCTTTTTCACCTGGAATGCTCCTTCACCCTCCTCTTGCTTCTGGTGGACCCAGCACAGGGTGCAGCCCTTCCTGACGGGGATGTGTCTCCCTGGGGGGTGGGGGTGGGGTTGACGCTGAGGAGGGACGGGACAGGGAGAGGAGTCAGAAGCAGGTGCTCTGAGCTTGCTTGTTCTCTCCCTAACTTTGTTCCTTCCCTCTGCCAGTGTTCCCACCGAGGACCCTTCCGGGGAGTCCCTTATCATCAGCCCTGAGGAGTTCCAGCGGATCAAGTGGGCCTCCCACATCCTGACCAGGGAAGAACTTGAGGCTAAGGAGCAGACCTTGAAGCTGGAGAAGGAAGCCACGCTGGTAGCTCAGCAACTTTAGCCCTGATCTCTGCAGCGGAGGGAGGGCAGAGTGGAAATGTGCCGGAGAGGGCCTAGAATAGAATTCTAGTCAGGGGCCCCTGAAACAAAGAGTGGATGTGTGTGTGCTGCACAGTGGCGGCCAGAGAGACATAGCTGAGATGTGGGAGCAAACGGGGGCGGTGGAGAGTCAGGGTAGCAGGGAGAATGAGGCCAAGCTGTGCCAGCCTTCTGGGTTAGGATGGCTGATGGGACGTGGCAGGAAGCATACTGGGTCCCCAGCAGTGGCTACGCTAGTGTCCAGGGCATAAGGCACAGGGGACCCAACCGATGTCCCTTAGGATGCAGTGACGTCACGTAAGAAGATCATGAAGCAGAAGGACCTGGTGTGCAAGAACAACAAGAAGCTCAGTGACCTGGAGGAGGTGGCCAAGGAGAGGGCCCAGAACCTCCTGCAGAGAGCGAACAAACTGAGGATGGAGCAGGAGGAGGAGCTGAAGAGCATGAACAAGGTGGGTGCTCCCCGCTCCCTCTCTGCACCTGCCCTCCTCTGACTCTCCACTGGACAGCAGTCCTGCTCACTGGAGACAGGCCAGGAAGGGGGTGGGGGTCAGGCGGTGGGGTCAGAGGCTGGTGGGAGAGAGCTACACCTGACGCATAGTTGCAGTGATCAGAGCTAGCCGAGTGACCGCGAGCCAGTCACGTGTTCTCCGCAGCCTCTGTTTCTTCATTTGTGAAACAAGGATGACCAAGCTAGTAAGCAGGGTTCATCAAGCTCCTAGGTGGGAGAGCCTTCTGGCCTGTGGCTTGCTGAACGTTCACAACGATGAGGGTATGGTTTTTATCTTCATCCCACTTGTTTAATTCTGGCCACACATGGTGGTTCAGGCAATTGGATTCTTTATGAAGTGCCCAGAGTGCTTCTTGTAGCCGAGAACAGAAGGATCTGAGGCTCATTTAGAGCCTGTTTTGTAACCCATCCGCATGGCGGTTCATTTCCTAACCAAATGGAAAAAATGCTGACTCCTCTACTCATCTCCCATTTCTGTCTCTCAGGTAAATCTTCTCTACCTGGTCCCCCTCTCGGTGTTTCAAGCTTTCACTTCTTAGTTCTTTCTCGTGGACTCCTGGTGGTTGTTGCTGTAATCCCCTCTGGAATTACACTGGGCGATTCCATTTTAGGGCCTCAATCTGATGGCTGCAGTCAGCGTGTCCTAGTTCCCCCAGGAGCAGAATAGGGCTCCTAACTTGAGGTTCTTGAATTCCCAAGGGGAACCAGGACACTCTGGATTGTGAGCGAACTGTATGGGTACCTATGCAAGTAGATCCTGTTGAGTGCTGGGCCTGTAGGTTTCATCAGCGTCCCAAAGGGCGATTGACCCATGACACCCAAAAGATGAAGACCCAGTGGGCCCTGAAAGACGCTAGCCTGGGCCTCTCCTTGCACAGCCTCCAGACCCTCACAGGCTCTCAGCCAACGTCCAGTGAAACAGTATGCAGGGGCGACTTGGGAGGTGCATGCTGCTTTCCCGTGCTTCTGAGCAGGCACGGGCACCTCTGGCACAGCCAGAGCGACTCTGCCCCCCACTCTTCCAATGTCCACACTTCCACACAGCAGCCCCTCTGCCCCCATCCCCCCATTTCTACTCCCCGATCCAGTGCCGTGACTTCACGTCCACACCTCAGGTCATCCTCAACGCCAAGTGCCATGCCATCCGGGATGCCCAAATCCTGGAGAAGCAGCTGGTCCAAAAAGAACTGGAAACCGAGGAGAAGAGGCTGGATCAGATGATGGAGGTGGAGCGGCAGAAATCCCTGCAGAGGCAGGAGGCACTGGACCAGAAAAGGAGAGAGGAACGAATCCGGTAAGGTGGCAGTTTGGGCATTCACACATGCCCCACCCCCCCCTCACCCCCAAGCCATTTCCACGTGTCCTTAGGTCCACACAGGGCAGCCAAGAAGGAGGAGGTGAGAACCGGTCCCTGTCGATCCTGTCATCATCTCCAGACCTTCACGAAGGGATTCGCGGAATCAGAGCACTTTGTGGACCGGCAAGGTTCACCTTTGAGCGGATGTCTGCGACGGCCACAGCTGCTTCCCTATTGGGCCCCTGCCCAGCCCCATTTCCCACCGTGTTCTGCTGTGCACTGCGCTGTCCTGTCCTCCTAGCAGGCCAGGCCTTGTCACAAGTTCATGGTTTTTGCTGCTTCCTTTGCTTTGAAGACTCTCCTCTCTCTCTCTTTCTCGCTCTCTTTCTTTCTCCTTAAAAAAATGCTTTCTCTTCTTCTCCCTGGGTAGCTAGCTGTGCTGTCACCTCTCCTGAAACTGCGTTCACACCGCCAGGCAGGCAGTGCCCGCCCCCCACCCCCCGACACTCTGTGGTTATGCTCTGACATTTGCTTCCTGCATTGTCCCGGGCAGCTTTACAAGTGGCTCTGTGACCCTCACTGGCCTGTAGCCTCGTTGAAGGCAAGATCCCTGCCTTACTCATTGCTGTAGCTCCAGCACCTGCCACGGTCTGGCCTAGAGTGCGGACTCCACACTAGGGGGGAAAGCTTTTGTCCCCCCACCCCATCCTTTTGCAGAAAAGGATAAGTCCCAGAGGAGGTAAATTATAGACGCGTCATGTCTGAACTTCAGAGTGCAACCACAGACAGGTTCAGAGATAATCCTGCTTCTGTAAATAGTCCTTGCACTGAATGCAGCCCTTCCCTTTCCTCATGCTGCTTGTGGTGGGGGTCCGATAGGCCACACTAGGCTCCCAACACTAGTTCCTGGAGGAGCATTTATCCATCTCTTGCATCAACAACTCCAATGGTGGGAGAGTGTCTGCCTTATTAGGCAGCATTAAGTGACCTGAACTAGTTTCTGCATTGAGTCCAAACCTACTTCCGGGTAACTTGGACTCATTCTCACTGACTGACTTCAAGTAGATTCTGCGTCATAGCGACCACCCTCTAGGACAGGGTAGGACTGCCCCCATGGGTTTCCAGGACTGGAACTCTTGACGTGAATAGGAAACCTCATCCTTCTCTGGAGAAGCAAGGGGTGGTCTCAAACTGCTGACCTTTGTGGTTATCAGCCCAACTCATAACTCGCGTGCCCCTGAAGCTCCCTGAACTTCTACTCATTAATCCTGTTTGTTTCTGGAGACATGAAGCCATTCAAGTGCGAATCTCATCCTCCTTCCCGGTGTCTTCCCCTGGTCTTCCAGTCTTTACTTAGAGACCACAGAGGTCTTATCTTCTCTGGATGCTTTCAAGTTCATGGTCATCCCAATAACACCGGGGTTGGTGGTAGTGGTGTCACTGGCAGCACTGATTCTAGAACCCCGGTTTCCCTGCTTCTCCGTTGGGCGGGGGCAGTGGGCGAGGTCCTGGGTGGAGAGACTCCCTCAGACTCTGTCCCTGCCCACCAGCAGCTGACAGCCTGGAAGTGTGAGCTAGGATGTGATCCAGACAGTTCCCAGACTCGGCATGGAAGGCAGGGTCCGAAGAGAAGATAAACCCAGGGATGGCAGAAGCATGGGAGGAATTAGAAGTCTTGGGCTTGGCAGCTCCAGTGCCCCTTCTGAGAAGAGGTGGGAGGAGTCCAGGAGCTCTTTACATACTGGGAAGTCCCAGGACTGCTAAGCCAAAAGGTTGGCAGGTCAAAGCCACTGATAGGCAACTCAGAAGGGCCTGGTGATCTACTTCGGAAGCTTGCAGCCTCTGAACACCCCGTGGCGCAGTAACACTCTGCCATGGGGTTGCTATGGGTTGGAATCAATTCAGTGCTAACTGGCTCCGTGCCGGAAGGAAGAAGGTGTAGCATAAGATGGGGTGCACTTTGGGGGGGAAAGGAAGGAAGAAAAGGCATTTCAAGAAGGGCGGCCTCCAGACCCTGGGGCTCCGAAGAGAGAGGGCCCACCTTCTCGGCCACCCTGGGGAAGGACTTTGGTCTGGGCCCGTGAAGCTTACCCCTGCTTGGGAGCTTGCCATCTTGTCTGTGCCAGGCCCCCACCCTGGGGGAGTGTGTGGGCGGAGATTGAAGCAGAGGGACAGACACCCTCGGTTTCCAAGCCCCCGTGCCACTGTCTCCTTGCAGAGGAAGAAGGCAGATAGTGGAACAGATGGAAAAGAACCAGGAAGAGCGATCGCTGCTCAGCGAGCAGCGGGAGCAGGAGAAGGAGCAGATGCTGCAGTACATGGAACAGCTCCAAGAGGAGGATCTCAAGGTAACGGTGTGTGTGTGTGTGTGTGTGTGTGTGTGTGTGTGTGCACGCGCGTGCATGTTTAGTGACTTTGTGTGAGTGCCTTGGAGAGTTAATTTATGTGAGTGCTTGTTGAGTTTGTGTTTAAGAGATCCTTTGGTGAGTATAGGTGGGAGAGACTTCTTGGTGAGTATGTTGTTTTTGTGTGTGTTGGTGAGTTTTTGTCTGAGAGCGGTTGTTGAGTTTGTGTGAGCGTGGCCTTGGTGCATTTGTGTGTGT